ATGGGAGGGTGTTACCCCATACACCCCCCCAGGCTAGGCTGTATATGGGAGGTGTTACCCCATAGCCCCCCCCATGCCAGGCTGTATATGGGAGGGTGTTACCCCATAGCCCCCCCAGGCTAGGCTGTATATGGGAGGGTGTTACCCCATAGCCCCCCCATGCCAGGCTGTATATGGGAGGGTGTTACCCCATAGCCCCCCCAGGCTAGGCTGTATATGGGAGGGTGTTACCCCATAGCCCCCCGTGCCAGGCTGTATATGGGAGGGTGTTACCCCATAGCCCCCCGTGCCAGGCTGTATATGGGAGGGTGTTACCCCATAGCCCCCCGTGCCAGGCTGTATATGGGAGGGTGTTACCCCATACCCCCCAGGCTAGGCTGTATATGGGAAGGTGTTACCCCCTAGTGCCCCCAGGCCAGGCTGTATATGGGAGAGTGTTACCCCATACACCCCCCCAAACCAGGCTGTATATAGGAGGGTGTTACTCCATACACCCCCCCCAGACCAGGCTGTATATGGGAGGGTGTTACCCCATAGCCCCCAGGCTAGGCTGTATATGGGAGGGAGTTACCCCATAGCCCCCTGCGTAGGGTAACAATAAAGACCAGCCAGCTGGGTGATGGTTGACGGAGCCTCATACGTAGGGTTCCAGAACCTGGTTGATTCTTCCCATTGGCCATGTGACTGAGCATGGCCGCCAGGGACAGGTGTGCCTCCCAGGTCTAATAAACGTAGGGCCTTGTGCCAGACGCAGGCAATAAACAGCAGCCCCCGGTCAGAGGTGACTTGGTCCAGGAAGCCAGGAAGATGGACGGTTTTGTTTATTCAGGGCTGGGCATTTTCCTGCACAGAGCGTAAACCTTTGCAACGAATGACGTGAGGCATCTTAGGAAAGCGAGCGAGAACATGAGAGCGGCCGGGCTGGGTCAGACCGACGGTCCATCCCCTCCAGCATCCTGTCTGCCGACAGTGGCCAAGGCCAGGTGCCCCCGAGGGAGGGAACACAACCGGGAATCCTCACGGGCTCCCTCCTGTCCCCCATTTCCAGACACACAGAGGGCCACCGTCCCTACCCAGCCTGGCTAGTAGCCATTGATGGACCTACGCTGAGGAGCTATTTGGGGAGACCGGAAGTATCTCGAAATAACTATTCCCAATCTATTGAAGCAGCCGGTTATTTCGCAATAGATTTTGAAATAACAGGCGGCTTATTCCGACATCCTGATAACCCTTGTTCCACGAGGGTTAGGGGGAATTTTGGAATGGAGCGTTATTTCGAAATTTGGCAATGTGTAGACAGCCCCAAATTACGAAATAAGCTCTTGCAAAATAAGCTGTGCTAGTTGCGTCGCGCAAGGTGGTCGCTTATTCCGGGCTCAGGGTGCGGTATAGATGCACCCTAAGGCTATGTCTACAATGCAGGCTTCTCGCGCAAGAACTTTTGACGGAAGAGCTCTTCTGCAAACCGTTCTTGTGCAAGAGAGCATCCGCGCTGCAGGGACACTCTTGCGCAAGAAAGCTCTGACGGCCATTCACAGAGCACCTGTGCTTTTTCCCATAGAGGTTTCTTGCGCAAGAAACCCCTGTTGTCCATCCACACTAAGGCTATGTCTACAATGCAGGCTTCTCGCGCAAGAACTTTTGACGGAAGAGCTCTTCTGCAAACCGTTCTTGTGCAAGAGAGCATCCGCGCTGCAGGGACACTCTTGCGCAAGAAAGCTCTGACGGCCATTCACAGAGCACCTGTGCTTTTTCCCATAGAGGTTTCTTGCGCAAGAAACCCCTGTTGTCCATCCACACTTGCCTTTTTGCACAAGAGCACTTGTGCAAAAAGGCGTATTCCTCGCAGAAAGAGGAATAACTCTAGTGCAAAAAGCCCTGTCTTCTGATGATCTACTGGACTTTTTCTTGTGCAAAAACGCGCTTGTAGTGTGGACGCTCTGTGAGTTTTTGCGCAAACACTCCGCAGTGTAGACATAGCCTAAGTGTCCTGCCAGCGCGGTGGCGTAGCACGGCTGAAGAACAGCAGGTCTGGGGCGGGGTGGTACGTGGATGCCCCTGCTGCCCCTCGTGGCTCTCAGTGACAATGGCCATCTTGCTGGCTGGAATTAGGGAGGCCGAGGAGACGGCCGGGAGCGGAGCAGGCGCTGCTGGTGAATCGCATTCAGAACAGTCTGGGATTTGAGGAGGTGAGCTGGCTGCCGGGCCCTTCCTGCGGCCAGGGCAGTGGGTGAAGGGCAGGTTGAAGCGAGAGAAGCACAGGGCCCGCTGGGGTTGTCACCTGGTTCAGGGCCTTGGCTCTGTCCCGGTACTCTCGGGTCTTGCGACCGGTAAACGCCTGCACCGTTTCCTAGCAGTGTTGCCGCTCCCCCGAGGAGGCCTTGCTGGCCAGAAGCACCTCGTCCTAAGATGTCAGTTTGGCTCAGCAGCCGTGAGCAGGCGTCAGAACGTGAGAACGGCCGCACTGGGTCACACCAGCCCAAGGCCCCGTCTGCTGACAGTGGCCAATGCCGGGTGCCCCAGAGGGAGGGAACAGAACAGGGAATCCTCACGGGATCCCTCCCCTGTCGCCCATTCCCAGACACACTGAGGCTAAGAAGCCCCGGCCCCTGGCTCCTGGCCCCCAGATCTAGGGAGCAGTGAGGGGTGCAGACAGTGGTAAGGGGAAGGCATCTCAGCACCTCCACTCCAAAAGCTGTTGCCTTGCAACTGACCCTGCCCATCCTGGCTCTCAGCCACTGATGGCTCTATTCTCCATAAATGTATCTAGTTCTTTTTTGAGCCCCCCAGTAGCATCTTGTCCACCACAACGTCCTCTGGCAAGGAGTTCCACAAGTTGACCATGTGATGTGGGGAAAGAACTTTCTTTTGTTTGCTTTAAACCTGCTGCCTAATAATTTCATTGTTTCCTTGTTCTTGTGTTACGAGAAAGGAAATAAGGAAGTGTTATTTATTCTTTCTCCACAGCTGTCCTGATTTTATAGACCGCTATCATATCCCTTTCTTAGTTATCTCTTTTGCAAGCTGGAAAGTCCCAGTCTTATTAATCTCTTCTCATAGGGAAGTTGTTCCATACCCCGAATCAGTTTTGTTGCCTTTTTCTGCACCGTTTCCAATTCCAGTTTTGAGAGGGGGTGGCCAGATTGGCAGGCAGTATTCATAATGTGGGCATACTGCATGGGAGAAACCCCTAATTGACAGAGGGATGAGACCTCTGAGCAGTGACTTAGTGCAGTGGTTCCCATCCTTTCTGAGCAGACGGATCCCTTTTCAATGGACACCCCCACTCACTGCAGGCGGAAAAAAAAGAAACAAAAAAAGAGAGAGAGGGGCTACGTCTAGACTACAGGTTTCTTGCGCAAGAAGCTTTTTTTGGAAGAGATCTTCTGAAAAAACTTCTTGTGAAAGAGCGTCCACACTGCAAAAGCGCATCGAAAAAGTGATGAGCTTTTTTGAAAGATAGCTCCAGACTGCCTGGATGCTCTCTAGCATGTAAGCGATGATTGCTATTCACAGAATGGCCACCAGGGCACCTGTGCTTTTTCCTCTTCCCTCTTCTTCCGAAAAAACTCCCTCTTCTCCATCCACACACACCTTTTTGCAAAAGTTCTTTCAAAACAAGGCTTCTTCTTTGTAGAATGAGGATTACCAATTGCACAGAAACCCCTCTGTTCTTTCGATTTACTGTCGAAAGAACACAAGTGCAGTGTGGACGTAACTCAAGTTTTGTTGGAAAAACAGCTGTTTTCCTGACAAAACTCTGTAGTCTAGAAATAGCCTCAGAGAGAAAAAGAGAGGAAAAAAGAGAGAAAAAGAAAGAGAGGGAGAAAGAAAAGAGAGAGAAAAAAAGAGAGAGAAAACATGGAAAAAAAAAGAAAAAAAAGAGAGAAAGAAGAGAGAGAAAAAGAGAGAGAGAAAAAGAAAGGATCAGGCTCACCCCTGTGGGCCCTATCCTTATTTTTAAACTTTCCATGGACCCCTGGAAGTACTGTCGCGGACCACAGGTTGGAAATCACTGGCTTAGAGGGTGTGTCTAGACTAGAGTACATGGCTTCATCGATGGAGCCATGTAGATGAGTTTACCAGACATAGGAAAATGAAGTGGCGATTTAAATAATCGCCGCTTCATTTACATAAAAATGGCCGCCACGCTGTGCCGATCAGCTGTTTGGCGGCACAGCAGGGCAGTCTGGACGTGCTGCAGTCGACAAGGGAAGCCTTTGTCGACCGCTCTGTTATGCCTCGTGATATTAGGTTTAGCGGAGCAGTCGACAAAGGTTTCCCTTGTTGATCGCGGCGCGTTCAGACTGCCCCGCTGTGCCGCCAAACAGCTGAAACAGCAGCAAGGGGGTGGATAGGGCTTTCCCCAACTAAACCCCATCACCACTGGGGTGCTCAGGATCTCTTTTGGGTTAAAACTCCAGGCGCCCAGGCATACCTGAGAGTGTGACCTGCTCCCCAGTAACCCGGGGAGGAAAAAGGAGGTTACATAAGATATAGAGACAGGTAGTAATGCAGAATGTCATGTAATGGAGGCTTGGTCAACTTATTTTGAACATCTGTGCTGAATAGCCCTGATTGACTGCTGTTCAACTCAGAGCAATTTTACCAGGGTCCCGTATTTGGCAGAGGGAAATATGGTCACCCTATCTAGAATGCTCATCATGCTAATATCCAAGGCCCTAATTCAAGGGCTTTGTTGAACCAGGCCTAAGCTTTTAATTCATGCCACCCTAGTATCTATTTTATGCCCTTTGTTGGACTTTCAAATGAAAACTTTAGAAAGTCCCCAGCTGCTCTGTGTGAAAGCGGGGCCAGATTCTGAGGTGGTACAAATCAGCCTGACTCTTTTGATGCTGGTGGATCGATGCCAATTTACTCAAGCAGAGGTTAGGCCCGGTGTTTGATTTTTTTTCCCGGTAAGGGAATGTTTGGCAACGTTTCCCTTCCCCGCATTATTGTGTGTGTTGGATTGCTTCTGTGTTCCTGCCCAGAAAAAGATGCATTCCAGCAATGGGAAAAGCAAGGTACGCAATAGTGAGAGACTCCTTAGAATCACATGGCTTTAGTGGGTCAGAAGAAAGTGTGGCTCCCTAGAAGAATTCATTTGGGCTGTGGACTGTTCACTGTTGCAAGCATAGTTAATATTCCAGTTTGCGGGCTCTCAGATCTCACAATGGAAACATGCTCCGCAGCCCTTATACACAATGCCTTTCATTTAAGGATCTCAAAGCATTTTGCAAAGGAGGGCAAGCATTGTTATTGCCATTTTATATGAGGAAACCGAGGCACCATGACTTGACCACATTGCAATAGAAATAGCAGACAGTAACATTTCATGTTCCCATCTGAAAGTCCTTGATCTGGAATGGATATAACTGAGGAGTCTTCTTTGAGAGTGGGTGATGCAAGCCAAAGATTTTGCATGTTTGCTTTTTCTGTGGAATTGCTTCTTACTGTAATACCACGGACATTTTTTTCTCATCTTTATAAAAGAAGAGGTAGGAACTGAATCACTGAATAAAAGAAAGTTCAAGCTGTAATTCACTAAAGAAAATGCATCTCTGCGTTCTTTATAAATGCACTGCTCCTTTGAAGATTGTCTGTAGAGAAATTATTCTTTTAACTTTAGTGTTAGCAAACTGTTTTCCCTATTCCTTCCTTGTGCTAAGCCTATTCCTTCATAAGCCTATGCAAATGAAGTGCAGATTATCATATTGCCGTGCTTCATTTGCATAATGAATTAGGGGCCATTTTTGCACAAGAGGCTTTTGCACAAAAAGGAGCCATCTACACAGCTCCTTTTTGCGCAACCCCCCCCCCTCTTGTGCAAGAGCAGTTCTTCCTGAAAAAGCCTAATTAGGGGAAAAACAGCCCCTAATTAATTATGCAAATGAAGCACGACAATATGCTAATCTACATTTCATTTGCATAGGCTTTTGCACAAGAGGGATGCAATGTAGACAGTAGCCTCCGTGTAAGAGTAACTCCTAGTGACATGAACAGAGGCACTCGTATGCATAAGTGCAGTGCAAGATGGAATCTAACGCACTCAGTAATTTAAAAGTGGTAAATAATAGACCCTCATGCTTTAGTATATAGACCACCCTCTAACTAGGGAGGGGTTAGTAGGAAACTGGCCTATGAGTAGAGTATCCCATAACTGTTTACTGTAGGGTTTCTTGCAACTTTCTCTGTGGCATTTGTTATGAGTCTGATGTGCATTGTATTCTTTTACAGGTTGATATTTTTATTATGACTGAACCTTCTTCAGGCAGGTGGGTGTATTTCGACACGGAGCTCACCAATAGCAGTGGCAGGATATCCTACAACATACCCAAAGAGAAGAGGCTTAGAGTTGGCGTGTATCCCATCAGAATGGTGGTCAGGTAATACTTTCAGATTTGAAGGTGCGAGATTCCATAGTATGAAGAGAGTTATGCCATAACAGCAGGACCCCCCCCCAAAATTGCATTTATCATCAAAGGGAGCAAAGCCATGTATTATTTGTCCACAATGATGAGCAAAGGTATAGCTCTGGAGACATTTATTCCACCCTCATGGGTTCAATAGGTAGAAAAAGAGCAAATGGTGGCCCTTGTTTGGAGGGAGAGGGCATCCCGAGCTCAGTCACATGCCTCTTCCAGCTGTGAAAATGGGTGCTGCTGTGTAGACAGTCAAGCTACGTCTACACTGCAGGCCTCTTGCATAAGAACTTTTTGCATAAGAGCATGTCCACGCTGCCATGTGCTTTTGCGCAAAAAGAAAGCTCTTACGCAAAAAGGCGTATTCCTCGCAGAAAGAGGAATAACTCTAGTGCAAAAAGCCCTGTCTTCTGACGACTACTGGACTTTTTCTTGTGCAAAAACGCGCTTGTAGTGTGGACGCTCTGTGAGTTTTTGCGCAAACACTCCGCAGTGTAGACATAGCCTAAGTGTCCTGCCAGCGCGGTGGCGTAGCACGGCTGAAGAACAGCAGGTCTGGGGCGGGGTGGTACGTGGATGCCCCTCGTGCATGTGGCCCCCTCCTGGGTGACGTGTGGCTCTCAGTGACAATGGCCAGCTTGCCGGCTGGAATTAGGGAGGCAGAGGAGATGGGCGGGAGGGGAGCAGTATGTCTCCAGGTTGACGGGCCCCCGTGCTCCATCATGCACGTGTCTTGCCTGGCTTGGACGGGGGGGGTCCCTTCCTGCAAATAACGTGACCCCCCTAAAAGGCATCGTGAGTGGGTCTGTTGCAAAGTCTAAGAACGGCCAGACGGGGTCAGACCAAAGGCCCATCCGGCCCAGCGTCCCGTCTGCCCACAGCGGCCAGCGCCAGGTGCCCCAGAGGGAACGAACAGAACAGGGAATCCTCACGGGATCCCTCCCCTGTCGCCCTGACACAGGCTAGGGACACCATCCCTGCCCATAGGCATAGCAGGTGCCGGGGTTTTGCACCCATCACCAGCCCCATGGCCCTGCTGCCCAGGGTCCCTGCCACTGGCCCCATGCCTCTGCTCCTGGAGTCCCAGCCATTGGGCCCTTGCTGCTTGGGGGCCCCACCGTGGCCCCAGGCCCTACTTGGCTGCCGGCCGTAGGTCTCACTTGCCCCCAGATCTAGGGAGCAGTGAGGGGTGCAGACAGTGGTAAGGGGAAGGCATCTCAGCACCTCCACTCCAAAAGCTGTTGCCTTGCAACTGACCCTGCCCATCCTGGCTCTCAGCCACTGATGGCTCTATTCTCCATAAATGTATCTAGTTCTTTTTTGAGCCCCCCAGTAGCATCTTGTCCACCACAACGTCCTCTGGCAAGGAGTTCCACAAGTTGACCATGTGATGTGGGGAAAGAACTTTCTTTTGTTTGCTTTAAACCTGCTGCCTAATAATTTCATTGTTTCCTTGTTCTTGTGTTACGAGAAAGGAAATAAGGAAGTGTTATTTATTCTTTCTCGTAACACAAGAACAAGGAAACAATGAAATTATTAGGCAGCAGTCTTAGTTATCTCTTTTGCAAGCTGGAAAGTCCCAGTCTTATTAATCTCTTCTCATAGGGAAGTTGTTCCATACCCCGAATCAGTTTTGTTGCCTTTTTCTGCACCGTTTCCAATTCCAGTTTTGAGAGGGGGTGGCCAGATTGGCAGGCAGTATTCATAATGTGGGCATACTGCATGGGATAAACCCCTAATTGACAGAGGGATGAGACCTCTGAGCAGTGGCTTAGTGCAGTGGTTCCCATCCTTTCTGAGCAGACGGATCCCTTTTCAATGGACACCCCCACTCACTGCAGGCGGAAAAAAAAGAAACAAAAAAAGAGAGAGAGGGGCTACGTCTAGACTACAGGTTTCTTGCGCAAGAAGCTTTTTTTGGAAGAGATCTTCTGAAAAAACTTCTTGTGAAAGAGCGTCCACACTGCAAAAGCGCATCGAAAAAGTGATGAGCTTTTTTGAAAGATAGCTCCAGACTGCCTGGATGCTCTCTAGCATGTAAGCGATGATTGCTATTCACAGAATGGCCACCAGGGCACCTGTGCTTTTTCCTCTTCCCTCTTCTTCCGAAAAAACTCCCTCTTCTCCATCCACACACACCTTTTTGCAAAAGTTCTTTCAAAACAAGGCTTCTTCTTTGTAGAATGAGGATTACCAATTGCACAGAAACCCCTCTGTTCTTTCGAATTACTGTCGAAAGAACACAAGTGCAGTGTGGACGTAACTCAAGTTTTGTTGGAAAAACAGCTGTTTTCCTGACAAAACTCTGTAGTCTAGAAATAGCCTCAGAGAGAAAAAGAGAGGAAAAAAGAGAGAAAAAGAAAGAGAGGGAGAAAGAAAAGAGAGAGAAAAAAAGAGAGAGAAAACATGGAAAAAAAAGAAAGAAAGAAAGAAAGAAAGAAAGAAAGAAAGAAATATTTAAGTGGGATAAAATGGGCTGGAGCTCTGCAAAGGGGTGGATTTCTATAACTAGAAGTACTGTCGCGGACCACAGGTTGGAAATCACTGGCTTAGAGGGTGTGTCTAGACTAGAGTACATGGCTTCATCGATGGAGCCATGTAGATGAGTTTACCAGACATAGGAAAATGAAGTGGCGATTTAAATAATCGCCGCTTCATTTACATAAAAATGGCCGCCACGCTGTGCCGATCAGCTGTTTGGCGGCACAGCAGGGCAGTCTGGACGTGCTGCAGTCGACAAGGGAAGCCTTTGTCGACCGCTCTGTTATGCCTCGTGATATTAGGTTTAGCGGAGCAGTCGACAAAGGTTTCCCTTGTTGATCGCGGCGCGTCCAGACTGCCCCGCTGTGCCGCCAAACAGCTGAACGGCACAGCGTGGCAGCCATTTTGATGTAAATGAAGTGGAGTTTATTTAAATTGCCGCTTCATTTTCCTATGTCCAGTAAACTCATCCACATGGCTCCGTCGACGGCGCCATGTAGTCTAGACATACCTCCAGAGTCAATGGTACGGCTGTTTGCCATTTTGAGTAGGGGGACTCCACCACATGGCGTCTGTGTGTTTGAGATCCACAGCCTCTTTGGAGTTGGTCAGGTCAGGCCTGGAGAATGGTTCTTCTGCAAGTTCAGGCATAGGTTAGCCTGTGGTCCCCTCTAACCAAGCTTGTCCCAAAAGTTTCTACTGGGCCTTCTGTGCTTCCTTGTGCCAATCCAAACTCATCGCCACTAATTGCAGCCACTAAGCTGAGCAAATCAAACCCTTCCAGCTGAGATTTACCCATTTGTGGCCACCTCGTAGTTTGCAGAATGTCCCCTCCATAAAACTGCCCGACCGCAGTGGGACTTTCCTGTATACCCCGCAGTGGTAGCAATCTGGTCTCCACCCATTGTGGATCCAGCAACGTGGACACACCGACATCCTCACCTGGACCGGAACGATTAGCCCCGCCTAGCTGTGAGCGTCTCACCTGAGCTGCTATTTCCCCCTGATGTTTTTCAAGTAACCACTCTGGATCCAAGAATGCAGGCTGAGAACGGTAGATCCTTTCTGAGGGGGGGTTAATAACAACATGTTTTCCTTGCTGCACCGTGGCGCTGTTGCACAATCGGACAAGCACAACCCTGGGAAAACAAGACAGTGACTTGGGGGCCGGACAACTCAAGCCGCACTCTTGCAGCTACCACAACCCCTCATAAATAATGGAATGGGTAAGAGGCGACGGTGTCTGTAAACAGCCGGAGGAAAACAGAAACACGAGCCACAGGCGTGTTCAGCAGAGCAAGCAGCAATTCATCATGTGTCTCATAAAACCAGCCATGAACATTTCCTTCAGGGAGGCGTGGGTTACACGGCGTGGCGTGCAAACAGGCCAAGGCACAATGGGGAATGGCACAGACCGACTCTGGGGGGCAGCGCCTAGCGGGGGACAGCATGGTTTGGATGCTCTTTGGGCGAGATTGCGGGGAGTTTGTACAGCATCTAGTACCATGGGGCCGTGCCCCAGGACTTTGGCACCAAGGTGCTATTGCAATTCATTAACAACCATCTCTGATGGAGCTGGGAAGAGGGGGCACGTTGTCGTGTGGTTCAATTTATTTTAGATTCAAGGGAAACCAGGACACGTCGTTATACTTAAAAGTATACTTTCCCTTTTCCAAAACAAAATCATATGCATTATCCATTGGTACAGGGTTACTTCATAAACATTACATTTTAGATCACTGTGGTTGCCAACAGTGGGGAAAACATGAGTAGTATCATAAACTGGCCACCCACTCCTGCCCCTAAGAGGGATGCTATTAACCACAAAATAGATCAATTGCAGCAGGCCATTAACACATATGGTGCAGCCTTGCTCAATGAAAGACAGGCCTCTCTTACCATTATGCACCATTAGAAGTAGTTGCTTCAGCTGGTTGCATATATAAAATAGATAGCAGGGCAATATTGGTATTATATATTTGCAGAATATTTACTCACAGCTAGTGCACTCTTAAGTGTTTTGATCCACCCTATAGTATTATTATGGATACCTAGAGCAGTGTTGATGCTTTTATGGCTGATGCTGGGTCTCTATATGGCAAGTGGTTTCTCTTGCGGCTCATATTAAAGAGCAGTTACGTTGGTACATTCCTGACCAGATGTTTTATCGCTGCAGACTTGACTCGGTTGAAGGGCGGAGTTTGGGGGAGCCTGCACTCCCCTGCCTTGGCCATACCTGGTGATGTCTGCCTTGTCCAGAGTGTGGATTTCTGGCCTGTTTCACATCTGATGCACCAAAGCACGCAGGCAGGGCCTGAGAGTCAGGAATTGTTTTGCATAACGATGCAGATTAAGCCTGGTACATGAGACCACGTCAAGAACACAGGCCAAGCGGCCTTGTACTGGCACTTCTGTTTCTGATAAGCAACAATTACAGCTGCAGCCATGAAACTGTCAACTACGCACAGAGCAGCAACATCCTA